TTTTGGGTCTTTATAATTTAGAAATGATCAGCTTTAGGATGCAATCTGTCCTTGCATGGCTTCATTCACATAACAAAAGGGAACTCATATTTTGAAACCAAGTCACATTTACAAGTACAACCTTTAGGAGCACTTATTTTGGGGAGGCACAGTTTAAACCTCACTCATACTTCAGCATGCATTTCATAAGAATGAAGATATTTTCTCATCCACTCATATTTCAGTAATATATCTAAACAAGTTTATAATCTTCATCTAATGTCAGTCCATATTCTAATTTCCCCATTTTATGCATAAAATCTTTCATACATCTTTTGTTTAACCAGGATTAAATTGTGTCTCACAAATGAATTATTGTTATATATTTCAAGTTCTTTTTAATTTACAATAGTCTCTTTGGGGTTTTTTTAATCCAAAATAACCAAACATATTAGTAACAAAAAAATACTGGATTTTCTTTGCCTTGTGCTATTACATAACTTGTTTCTCGAGGCCTATCACCATAAATTCGAAATTAGAAGTGGAATTTTATGATATTTAGATTGTTATATTTTTTAAATTGCACCTTACTATACCTTCTTTAAAAAATCATGAATGACAGCTTTCCACATGGACCTCACCAGATAGACTACTTAAGAATCAGATTGACAACATCCATGGAAGAAATCATTAGAGAAACTCGGCATCAGCAGTCAAAACCAGACTAGGTATTCACTGTGGATCAGACAAGCAATTATTCATGTGCAAGTTGAAGCTGAGGAAAATGAAAAGAAGTGCACAAAAAACAAAATATAATCTTGAGTTTATCCCACCTGAATTTAACAATCATTTTAATCTCTCTACATCTCTACAAAATTTTCTTCAGCTTCAATTTGATTATAAAATGGTTCAACCACTCTAGCTGATCATAGAAATCTCATATGAACAAGATATTGCACTGCTGGGAAGATACCACAAGGAAAACAGGACTGAGAGACAAACAGATTTGTACACTGATGTTCATAGCAGCATTATTCACAATAAGAAGAAAATGGTAACAGCCTAAATGCCCATCAACAAACACATGGATTGAGAAATAATGGTACGTTCATTCACACTATGCAGCTCTATGCTGAACCAACTAACTCAACCTCATAAGAATAAATAAATACTGCATAAGACTATTATTGTAGGGGAGCTCTGGTGGCCAGGTGGCAAGAAGCTGCAACTACAATCCCAGAGGTGCCCGGTTCGAATCCACCAGATGCTCTGCCGGGGAAGGAGGGGCAATCTCCTCCTGT